CTAGATAGTGGGCGTTCTCACTCCACTCTGAATTTATGTGGCTGCTATTTCTGCCTGACATATTCGGGTCGACGGCGCCACGGCGCGGTGCCACAGGTCGGTGTCCCTCTTCCTGAGAGGGGCTTTACGGCAGCATCCCCCTAGCACCCAGAGGGCTCCGGCTTGGGACCTGCCCCTGCTGCCGGATGCCATATCATCTCCTCCCTTCGAGCCCCTTGCACAGGTGGAGCTTAAGTGGCTGTCCTTAAAGGCAGAATTTCTGCTTTCCATGACCTCAGGGAAACGAGTTGGAGAGCTACATGCCCTCTCCGTGAGCGATACATGCCTGAGGTGGAACTCCGATGGCTCGGGTGTTGCCCTCTGGCCGAATGTGGCGTTCCTGCCCAAGGTGCTTCCACTAGCCCACTCCAATCGGCCTATCCAGCTGGCACGCTTTAACGTCCCACAGGAGAACGGCACGCCTGAGTTGCTGTGCCCTGTGTGTGCCCTAGGGGCGTATATTGGGGCTACGGCCCATATACGACAGTCAGAGCAGCTCTTCATTTGCAATGGCGGCACGAGAAGGGGCTGTGCTCTCTCCAAGCAGCGGCTGTCCCACTGGGTTGCGGATACAATCTCACATGCCTATGGGGCCAGTGGCCGCCATCAGGGGTGCATCTCAACGTCTTGGGTTGCCCTGAGAGGGGTGTCCCTGGAGACCATCTGCGCCTCGGCGCCGTGGGCATCGTCTGGCACATTCTCCAGGTTCTACCGGGTCAATGTCGCCACTCCCCATCCTTTGGGCGTGGTCCTGTTGCCGATCTCCGCTGCTTCCAGTAGTGAGCAAGGGCTTGGATTCTTCATGACATGGTTGGTGTAGGTCATCCAACTCTAAAGCACCGCCTCTGGCGGTCAGTAGGGAAGAAATATAACGATTGTTACGGCTGTAACTACGGTTCTATGAGTCCCGGATGACCGCCAGAGTTTCCGGTCACTCAGAATTCTTGTGTGATCGCGAGAAGATTCTGGGAACCGATCCACTAATGACGCCGGCCTATGTAGCTGCAGTCACGTGGGTCATAGGTGACTTTGTTGTTATTAGGTACTCGAACTGCGCATGCGTGCGATGGACATATCCAGGACTCATAGAACCGTAGTTACAGCCGTAACTATCGTTTTAACCTTATTTGCTTGCCCTGATAAAAACAAAAATACCCAAATCAATCAATGCCTGAGGCTGCTTTCATAATAAAAGCATACACAATTACTCAAATTACCTTAAAAAATGACACTAAATAATGATCCAATTACTGTATACAAAGACGGCAAGAAAATACATGTTTTACTATTAATTAATAAAAATCAATAAAATGAGTGTTAACCTGCTTTTGCTGTTTTATGATTAAAAAGGTGATATCAGTCTTAAGGTTAGGCAGAAAAAGATAGACTGCTTCTGACTTCCATAATAAACAAAAAATCGAAGCACTAACATGGACCTTCAAGGCTTCCGTACAGCTGCAAAAGAGACACACTTACCTTGCAATTACTATGATTTTAAAAGATAAAAATCTGAATGTTTTATATTAATGTAAGAAAAGAGACAACATTTAAATGTATAGGTTCATAGTTTCACTGAGCTAATGTTTTGTTTTTTTGGCAGTTGGACCTTCAACGTCTCTCTGATGATCGCATGAACACCTTCAACCCCTATCCCATCTACAACGTAGTAAACAAAAAGTGCCTGAAAAACGGCCCTGTAAGAGGTACTGAGCACATAACTGTGCACAACACAAAAGTTCTCAATCTGTGAAAAGTTGCATCAACAGTCATAAAGGTCAGAGTAGTGTATTTTTTTAAAGTGTCTTTCCGGCTCTGTGTGCCTGTTTTGTCCTCAGGTAAATGGTTTGAGCTGACTCCTCATGAGGCTGGCTTCACAGATCTGGGTCTCTTCATTAACACCTCTCATGTGGGCAGCTCAAACTATGATGAGGGTCCTGAAGGTAAAGAGACGGAGATGGACATGACCCAGATGCAAGGTACGTCCGTCTCTTTTGTCTTCTAAAAATTTAGAAATATGTGCAACATGTACGGAAGCCTTGAAGGTGCAAGGTAGTGCTTTGATTTTTGTTTATTACGGAAGTCAAAAGCGGTCTATCTTTTTCTATAGGTTCTCTCTTGATCACAAGTGAAGTCTCTTGTCATGTTGTGCAAACAAAGTTTAAAACATTTTTTAAAAGAGGTGAAATATCCCGAAAAATAATTTATTTTCTTAAAACATTAACGTATCAAGAATACTTTTTAATATGCAGAAAACCGGTCCTTACAGAATTATTTTATTGATTTTAAAATGAACATGCTGCATCTGCTAAGAATAGTCCGTTACCCTGCGTACAAACGGCTGTTACTGCAGCGACAGCATAGTAACTTAAAATGACGGCAGCACTGACCGAGATTTTTCGGTAACTGTCCAAGTCTGTTTTCTTTTACATGAACCGGTCTTTAAACACTGTCAGAGCCCATACTGTGTTCCTGTTAAGGCCCGGACACACCAATCTGACAACAAAGAACTGACACAGACGGGCCCCGTTGCGTCGCCTCGCGTCTCTGCGTTTTGGCCATGTGTTGCACTGGAGCACACCGCAAAGACTTCAGCCGACGGCCAAGAAGCACGTACGAACTGCACATGCGTGAGTGGCAATAACTCTCCTTACCAGCAGGCGGTGGTAGTGTGTATTCGTCATTCAAAAGAGGCAACAACCAGAAGACAGACTGTGTGATAACCTAGAGAAGTCGGCCGAAAAGGGACACACCAATCTGAATAGGGCGTGTCGACGCTCATCGTCGGCCTGACGCCCACCGACGCCAATAATCGGCCTGGTGTGTCCGTGCCTTTAAGGCCCTGACACACCAAGCAGTCACCAGAGAGCTCGCCGACTGTTGCGTCGCCGTGTTCTTCTGCGCCTTGGCCCTGTGTCGCACTGGAACACACCGCAAAGACTTCAGCCGAGCACGTACGAACTGCACATTCGTGAGTGGCAATAACTCTCCTTACCAGCAGGCGTCGGTAGTGTGTATTCGTCATTCAAAAGACAGAGAAGAAGGGCATACTGCGTGATCTAAACAAACAACAAATAGTGTGTGCATTCCATCTTCACTCTCGTCCATCGAAAACATGTTTTGTGTGGTACTGGAGCTATCAGCCATTGGAGTGTTGCTTGTGGAAGACATTCTCAAGCAACCGTTTCACTTCTCACGCACTGATTCGCTAGCTGAACAGCCAATCAGAGTGATTTCTTTGTCCGACTGCCTTTAGCCGACAGCCACCCGATTCAACATGGCGGAAGGTGTCGGCACGGCCGAAAAGACACGACGGAGCAGGACACACCAATCTGAGTAGAGCGACACGACGCTCATCGACGGCCC